GCATGAGTGCATCAAGATTCCAGCGCGGGCGCTCAGGAGATACTCTCACAGATTGGGAGTCCAAGGCATAGTCAAAAGCCATGTGGATGAGCAAATGATATGATACGGCCTTCCGTCGAACCTGCTGCAGCTCCCGACTGAGACGATGAAGAGGACCAGCATTCTGACAGTGTTGGACCAGCACAGTGGGTGCCGCAACAATATCTACACAGCCAGGCTCCCCATGAGGCCCATAGCAGGCAGGACCGAAACCCTTGTAGCTGTTCGCCGCCTGCAGCCCATCGAGAGCCAGAGGCCGAGACCATGCAGCACCTGCGTACACCCCGCGCGTCGCCACGCGTGGGTCCACAGCCATAGGGTCGTCAGAAATCCAGGAGCCATTCCTCTGAACCAGCCCCATACCATCATTCACGTCTGCACATTTTTTTGATTTGCAGGGCGAGAGCGAACCTCTTCCGCTGAAAGCTAAGCAGGACGCGCACAGCTTTAATTAGCAGAGACAGGGCGGAAGATGGCGGGGCCTCACGCGGCCAGGAGAGGGCGAAGCCCAGGGATCAGGCGGTGCCGAAGTGGGCGTGCAGGAAAAGGTACGTCACGTCTGCACACACCAGCGGCGTAGTACGTTGAGGTAAAGACGCCAGACGAGGAGCAAGCCACGCAATCATTTCATCAACCGTACGCCGACATCGAGCCCGCTCACGAGAGGAGTCCGGCTTCGGCGGGAAATGGAGAGACATGACCGTAACATCAAATCTGCCAGAGCGTGCGCGACACAGGAGATGCCGACCACCAATGATAGTTGGCGCGCACTCGGTACGAACGAGATGCTCAGCTTTCACTCGAGGTCCCCACATAATCGACACCCCACAATGCATATTAGTAAGTTCACGAGCTGTCCACCCTGCCTCAATCACCACCTGATTCCCCGCCTGCCTCTTCCGAAGAGATGTGCCTCGAGCAGCCTTGGCACGGGTACCGATCAGCACAATGCCGTCAAAGTTGTTCGTGCGGTCCGCAATGTCAGTCAGCCTGTCCAGAGAGGCAGATTGCATAGGATTGTATGAACCAATCGTCACTAGAAATGTAGACATGACTGCGCAAGCGAGCCACCAGAGACTGGAACACCTCAGCGACATGCGCCTGACATAAAGTAGGGATAAAACGTGAGCGGAAGAGGTCGGCCAGGCCACATCTGCTCTGAGCCGAGCTGGCTGGAGGAGGAGGAGGAGGAGGAGAAGGAGGAGGGGTGGACCTAAGGATCTTTGTCTTAGGAGCGTGGATCCATCGATCGACGGGAAGCGCGAGGTGATTAACATCTGGATTGCAGATGCAAAGACGTTTGGGATCCCGAGTACCAGGAAGGTATGCACACGTGTGTTCTGGTTTATTCTGCATTTGGGAGATTCCTAATCCAAGATGGTTCAAGAGGTCGCCAACAGGCCACCAAGACAGTCCAAGAGAGATTCAGGAGTCCCTTCAAGACGGCCCAAAAGGCATGCCAGGCGGTCGAAGAGGTCCCAGGAGGCTTGAACAAGCGCAGGAAAGTCTCCAGGAGAGACGCCAAGAGAAGCCCGAGGCAACCAAAGTTATAAGTACAAGGCTTCAGCTGGCTTTTCAACACGATTACGCATGTTTCCTTATTAAAGTGGTTTCAGGATTTCTTTAGAGGGCCGAAGGCCCCAAAGACAGCTCCAGAGGGCTTCCACTTGGGCCCAAGATAGCCCTAGAGAGCCAATAGGCGCCAAGACTGTCCAAGAGAGCCGTCAAAGGGACCCAAGACGCGCCACGACGGCCCATGAAGGCGTAAGGGGCCGATAATGGAGGCCTAGATAGGTTCAAGTGTGCGAAGATCTTCGGCTCCATTCCAGCACTCACGTCGGCATCATTTTACGTATAAGGTTCGGTATGCAGCAGGTTTGTATCATTCAGGCAAGCTGCCCATTCTGGTGGATTGAGGCAGACAGCTTCATGGTTTTACAGAGTGCTTACGTGCACGAGACTCGTAGCCGGGCGCCGTTGCTAAAGCGCACGCGGACCGAGTAAAATATGGATCAGATCTGAAGTCTGAGGTGGTTTCCGTCATGTTTTGTGTTTTCTGGCCACCGCCCTTGCCCCGCCCGGCCGTGAAGCGTGCACCGGCCGGGTCGGTGGTTCCTCCCCCTTCCTGTGCTCCTGCCGCGCCCCGCCGCCTGGGCGATCTTTGGCGTCGGCGGGTGGCTTCTCGCTTCGCTCCACCACCCCGGCTGTTCAGTTGCTCAGCAGCTCAGCAGCCCGTGGGCTCAGTACGGGAGCATCTTGTTGCAGCGCGCTGTTCGCAGCCCCAGCCCCCCCACTGACGCTCAGGCAATGTCCGCATCCTGCTGGCGCCGTACCTGTACAGCAAAGCCTGACGCTTACGGCTTCGTCACGGACACCTTCATGCTCCCCTTCTCGCCGTTGTGGATTCGCGTGCCGCTCCTTCCCTCTGACGTATTGGTTCGACTTGCTCCACGCTTGCTGCGCCTGCAGCCTTGACTTCAGCCCCTGGGTGTGGTCGCGATGCCGCTTTGCGTCCACTGCCAGGTCGCCCCAGCGCAGTCTGGCCGCTCGCGCAACTCCTGCTGGAGGTCTTTCCGCGGTGTGTGCCCTCCTCCCCCCGCATGGTTTTTGCGGCCGCCATCGTCCTACTTTCCTCTCTTGCTGCTGGTTGATTAGTACGCCACGCGCACCGGGCTACTAGAGCGCGCGAGCGGATCGCTTCTGCTGCGCTGCGATGAAAAAAGTTCTTCGGGCTCTGATCATGGCCTTGATGCATACGCTCAGAACGATCAGCTTCGTATCGAAGCAGCTGGGCAAGGGAAAGCGTGCGCATTCTTGAACGCCTCTTGGACCTCGGCGGCCGTTCCAGCAGCCTGGGAAGCCCCCTTGAGCAACATGGAGATTTTAAGGGTTGCTCGGGAGGCGTCGGGGGAACGGGAGGAGCAGGAGGAGGGGGAGGAGGAGGAGGAGGAGGATGAGGGGGGAGGAGGAGGAGAGGAGGAGGAGGGAGGAGGGAGGGAGGAGGGAGGAGGAGGAGGAGGAAGGGGGGGGGGAGGGCCTCTCGGACTGGGGCCTCTCGAGACCCTCTGGGGCCATATTGGGGCCCTGGTTGGGCGCCTGGGGCCTCGCCTCGGCTGCTCCCAGGCCGTCGTAGAACCACTTCGAGCCGAGAGGACTCCTCCTCCTCCTCCTCCTCCTCCTCCTCCTCCTCCTCCTCCTCCTCCTCCTCCTCCTCCTCCTCCTCCTCCTCCTCCTCCTCCTCCTCCTCCTCCTCCTCCTCCTCCTCCTCCTCCTCCTCCTCCTCCTCCTCCTCCTCCTCCTCCCTCCTCCTCCCGAGGCAAAATGTCAGCTGCGGGAACCCTGCAGGGTTCGAATGACCCAGACAATGCTGGAAGGTCTTTGTCGCTTGTGTTTCTGGTCTTTTCGATGCCTCTTGAGGCCCAATCAGCGCCTCTCTGCTTTGGGGACTGTAGGGCGCCTCTTGGGAAATGTTGGGCCGCCTTGGCGGCCTCGGTGGCCTTCTGGGGCGCACTAGGAGCCTCGAAAAGCACTGAAAAAACCCAGGGGAGCCGTCGGGACGCCGGCAGGGAGCCTCGGGAGGGGGGGGGAACCCGGATGCATGCACGTGGCGTGGCGGGAGGAAGGGCTGTTTTTTCTTTTATCGGCGGCGGGCGAAGGGGGGAGGTGAGAAGAAGAAGGCCTTCTCAGAAAGTGGCGGGACTTCTCAGTAGCCCCCGCGCCTTCTGGGAAGTTTTTTGTTTCTTCGGGGAAGGCTTGGATTTTTCAGAAGGCCTGAGGACTTCCTGGACTTCTGAGAAGGCCCGCCCCGTCTCACTTCCCCCCATCGCTCGCCGCGTACTTCAGGAGACTTAAGGAAACGTGCCAGGCAGCATTTCGCTGCACACCACGCCACAACGTGCCAGGGGGGCACCGTGGCGGAGTGAGGACACAAGGACGCTCCACTCGGCACGTGGATATGTATTGGATGTGCGGCGCGGCTACATTGGTATATGTGCGGCACTGGGTAGATAGCTGGGACGCGGTGTGAATGTGACGCGTGTGACTTGCGCACGACACATGCAGCTTTGCGCGTTGGAAACACAATCGAAAGCCAAGGCGAGCACATGCACGCTACATCTGCGCATACAGCACGCACATCTGATCGTCCAACACGCGCAGCCAGGTCAGCGAGAAAAGCGCGCCATGATAGCGATGGCAAGCGGCGATCCATGCCGAAACGCTTGTGCACCAGTCAAGAGAGGAAAATCCACCCCGACTCCCATAACTGGCGTTTACTAAACAGCCCTTAGCGTTTACTGATCAGCCCTGCCCTGCTCCATCCCTTCCTGAGTGGCGGTTGCTCAAGTGCTTGGCTCGTCGGAGTGATTATTTGAGGGTGGCGCTTCTGCCTTGAACCAAGGCTGGGGACAGCTGGGAGCAGGGCCCAACCAAGTAAGCCAACTGCGGCGGAGGGCACAGCACCAGGGCCTGGGACGGCCGGGGGCGGCGCCGAAACAGGTGAATCGGCAGCGGCGGAGGGTGAGCGTCAGGCCCAAGACGACGACGAAGACGACGACGACGACGACGACGACGACGACGACGACGACGACGACGACGACGACGACGACGACGACGACGACGACGACGGCGACGGCGGCGGCGGCGGCGGCGGCGACGACGACGACGGCGACGGCGGCGGCGGCGGCGGCGGCGACGACGACGACGACGGCCCAAGGGGCCGCCCAATGGGTCCTGAGACTGCTCGCGAGGGCTCCAAGAGTTCAGACCCTTCCCCAGGGCCGACTCTTCCTTCCGAGTGCTTCTGCTGACTGCCCCAGAGCACGGCGAGGGCCCCCGGAGGCCGAGAGCAGCCAGAAGTGTCCCGGCCGCGCTGTCTTCTTCCACGACGGGAGCATGCCGCGGGATGCACCCCGTAGCCAGCTGGGCTCAGGCTTGCCCCCTCCCTCGTAAGCGGTCGCGGCATGCTTGCGCCCGCCGCCGGGCGCACTGCTTCGGTCATGAGGGCGCGGGACCTCCAGGTCTGCCTGGTCTGCTTCTCGCGGCTCTTCGGCCAGTCCTGCCGGCTCAGCCTCGGCGGTCTTCGAAGAAGAAAGCAATGTCATAAACATAGCGTTCGGAGTTCCGCGCGGGCTCTTTGGATCTGCGCTGGGCCCATCTGGCCCCGCCCCTGGCGCGTCCGCGCGCCAGAGAGATGCGTCCAGCGCCAATCCAAGAAATCTGGCCAGAGCTTCGAAAGTTCCTGCCCCGTCCCAGCCACCACCCCTGCTCTGCGATGTAGACGTGGCTCAGATTTAACAATACAGTGGCAGAGGGTCTCCAATGTATATCCAACATGGGCAGTCATGTTTTCTCCAACCAACTTGTTGCTGCTTCCTCGATTTGAAGAGACAGCGCTCCGCGTCTCCTCCTCCTCCTCCTCCTCCTCCTCCTCCTCCTCCTCCTCCTCCTCCGTTGCCATTTTGGCTCAAGGCCCCTCCGTCCCGTTGCAGCAGTAGCGGGGGACTGCGCCGAGAGCGGGCAACCTTTCTTAAGGATTTCTGGCACGTCGGGTGCCAGCGGACACCTTTCCATCACGAATTTCCTTTTTTTCCTTCCATGGGCCTCCGCGGCCGCGCTGGTCCTGCAGCCGCCGACGAGGACGCCGACGCCAAGAGCAGGAGTGGTGAACGTAGGTCTCATCGTGCTGGAGAGCGAGACGATCTTCAAGAACAGGATCCCTGGAAACATCACCGAGCTGCAGCAGGACTTCCTCCTCCCGCTGTCTCGACGGCTGGCAGCACGTCCAGTGGTGGTTCAGTTGGTGGCACCGCGGACAGTATCATTAACAAGCACATGGAGCAGCTCAGAGGCCACATGGCCAAATATATGGAGACCACCTTCCAGGACACGATGCAGTCTGTACGTGAGGAGCTGGGTACGATGGTGGCAAAGCAACTCCAGCCCCACGCGGAGCGCCTCGACAGACAACAGGCCCAGCTTCGAGTGGTTCAAGCCAAAAATGAGGAGCTCAGCCAAGAGCAGGAGGTCCTCAAGGCATCGGTCAAGCAGCTGCAGGACACCCTGGCCATCGCAGAGCAACAGGCAGCGGCACCCATCGACGTGGCCAAACTCATGGAGTGGAACCGCACTGTCGACCCCTCAGTCTTCATCCTGTCCTGCGATGTGGCGGCAGCTCCGAATGACATATTCAATGCACTTGACGAATGGTTGCAGGCGGCCAATGTCTCCAGAGACCAGCTGCGACTGGTCGGCGACACCCCGCAGAAGAAGTTCATCCTGCAGTGCATCGGAGGAGCCGCTGGTATTGCTCGAGCCAACGCACTGCAGACATCCCTCAAGTTACCCAATAATCAAGGCTGGCGCCAGTTTGAGGTGCTCGCTGTCAGCGGAGCTCGGATCGCTCTATACGTCAACCCCGATAAGAACGCCAAGGACATTCGGAAGGAGGTTCAGACCAAGAAGCTGCTGGGACTGGTACGGACAGCTGCGGCATCTTCGACGGTGGCTAGCACGCGTTCTTCAGAATGCTGGGCACGGAGACCGAAAGGGCTGGTCTACATCGGCCAGACAGCGATCGTATCGGTGCAGGTTCAAGGTCCTGAGGAAGCTACGAAGTTGGCATGGGACACACAGGCTGCAGAACGGCCCGGCATTGATTGGCAAGCAGTTAGCACTCAATTCAAAGATCTATGGAAGGAAGTTGACACATCAGATTGGACGTGTTCCTAATCAGCGTTTCGCACCGTGGGAACTCCAGGCATCTTCGCACCACGTCGGCATTGTCTGCTGGAACGTCCACGGTCTTCTGTTGCGTCGGGATCCTGCACGGCGTCGCCGTAAAATTGCAATTGTGGCAGACCTTCTTCGCAAGCGTAACGTTGTTATCACTCAAGAGGTCCATGGATTTGAAATCTCATTGACCAACTACCTCAACCAGTTTAACGTGAACTACAAGATACATTTTTCCAGGGACGGACCGTCCCAGTGCAGGCGGGGTGGCGATCTTGATTCCATGGTATGACGAGCGCACTGTGGCGGCTGCTGGGGCTTCGGGACTCCCTCGCCTCCGCCACCGCACCCTGGACGATGGAAGAGCCATCGTGACGAGCATCGAGAACCCTGCGACAAAGGGTGAGTTCCGCATCATGAATATTCACAACTACGATATTTCGGAGGCGGGTCGTACAAAGATCAAGCGGGTCTGGAAGGAATGCATTGCCTGGTCGAAGCGCGACCCGTTGAAGCACACGTTCATTGTTGGCGGCGACTTCAACATGACTGATGCACCGACGGAGTCCATCCTGTATCCACAACCGAAACAAGCGAGGAGATCTGAGGCAGGCCGTGCCAACCGCTCGGAGCCGTTCTGGCGTGAGCTCTTCAATGACGCGGCGATGTTCGAGGTTTGTTCTCCAATTCCGACTCGTTACACTGCTGATAACAATGCCCTGAGAACTATTGATCGTTTCTTTGTTTCTATAGAATCGGCCTTCGCCATTGAGACTGAGATGGACGTGGAGGCGATCCAGGACGCCTTCACACTGAATGCCAAGCAGCTGAGCGATCATGCGATCATCAAACTTCGGATGGCTACTCGACGAACGCCTGCTTCGGCCCACCAGCGCATCCCATCATTCATCTTTAAGAGCGATGAGTATCGTGCTGCTCTCGAGAGGTGCATTGACGGATGCAACTATGAGATGATGGAGCCGCACCGCCAGTGGAAGGCCATCAAGGAACTTATGACGGCGGCGGCGGAGACTGCACGTAATGAACTTTTGGCCAAGGAAGTCACAGGAGAAGGTGATATCCCGAGAAGAGCGACCTTACTGGCCTTCGGCGCTGCGGAACGCGCGGTGCGGCGCCAGGACGCGCGGCTGGCAAAGAAGCTGATCAACCACACTATCGTCGGCGAGAGGGAGCTCTACATCGAGGGGCACGAGGTGAAGCTGAGGCAGCCCGACACGTTCCACAACCGGGTGAAGGAAGCGCAGGCTGCCATGTTGGACCGCGAAGCTGCTGCGCTGGAGCGTCAGGGTGCAGGCCGCACTACCAAGCGGAGTGCGACGGTGATGGTGCAGCGGGCGCTCTTGTGGAACAACACCAGGCGGATGCTGATCCTGGCGGGTGCGAGGCAGGGCCAGATGACCAACATGGCAGCGTCGGGGGCGCTGGCCCCTGAGGAGGTTGAGGTTGTGCGTGATCCCAGTTCCATGGTAGAGGCTCTGAAGAAGCACTGGGAGCCCGCCTTCACGGCTTCCCCTGTGCGTGAAGACCTGATCGGCCCCTTCCTGGATCGCCGCATGCCCGAGCTTGATAATACGCTGCTGCAGATTCCCACAATCGACAACCTCCGCTTCGTCTTCAAGCGGGCGAAGGATTCAGCTCCTGGACCTGATCGACTCCCAGCTCGCGCATGGCGCGGCCATCCGCAGTTGACCACGGTACTCCACAGAGTGATGGAAGAGATGGCCAGCGGGCGGCGGCCGCCTGAGCACTTCAACGATTGCCGCCTGGCGTTTCTGCCCAAAGGCGACGAGCCCTCGGACCTCGTGGACTGCACGAGATCTCCTGAGTGCACGAGGCCCCTTGCTTTAAAGAACTCGGACAGCAAAGGTGTGGCCGCTGCGGTCAACCTGCATCTAGCTGGCGTCGTTGCTAGAGATACCCATGGAGTCCAGAAAGGGTTCGCTGCTGGAAGGAAGTTTGGCGAGCACATTGCTGCTCTCGACGCCGACTGTCGGCGGGCGGGGTTCCTTCCAGCGGCGGCCGAAAGACTCCCAGGGCTCTTTAGTTTCGATGTGCGTGCTGCCTTCCCGAGCATGTCTCAACTTTTCCTCCGTCGCACGCTTGAGCGGTTTCGTCTCCCCCCCCCTCCTATTACAACATGCTCGACGGGTTGGCACACGACACCCTCGGACACGCCCGTGTGGGTGAACATGTAGAGCCACTTTTTTTCTATCACGCCAGGCGCCCCCCAAGGGTGCCCATTGTCGGGGAGTCTCTGGGCGCTTGTTTTCGATCCCTGGGTGCGTTGTCTGGCCATGGCGTTTCCGTCGGAGCAAGTGGGGGCCCTCGGGGGGTGCGCCGACGATGTTGGTGCGGTCGCAATGACCATCCAGAGTGCTAAGCATATGCATCGCACTTTCGAGCAAGCCAAGCAGCTTGCCTCTCTCCAGCTCCAGCCCAGTAAGTGTTGTTTCGTCCCTCTTTGGGCCCCGTGCGATGAATTGACGATTCGCAGCGCGAGGGAGGCCCTCGCTGAAGTTGCCCCAGGGTGGGGGAATTTTAAAATCGTGGGCGCTGCGAAGTACCTCGGGGTTCGGCTCGGTCCTGAGGCCGACCTTCGGGCCCAGTGGAAAGCTCCTGGCCAGAAATGGTGGTCTAGGTGCCGAGAGATAGCGCTGTCTCGGGCACCCTCTGAAGCCTCCTGCCGTCTCCACCTTATGGTTGTCCTGCCGTGCCTCTCGTATGTTGCTCATTTTTTTCTTCCTGACCCCCACCTCCTCTCCAAGGAAAGCTTGGCGCTGCACAAGCTGCTTCGCATCCCCCCCAACTCATTTCGCATAGACGAGCTCCTGGGACTTGGTCGGTGGATGACATCGGCCGCGCCATTGCCAGTAGAGCTCTCATGCATAGCCAACGCGTGGCGAGCGAGCCACATCACATTCGGAGGATGGAGGAGTGTTGGTGAGCGGTTGAGGACGGCGGCGGAGGATTTTGGTACGATCATAGACCTAGTGCGCCAGGAGTGGTCGCCAAGGTTTTGGAAACGTCGTGTTTCAATCGCCCAGTTTTTTTATGGCTCTCGAGGAGCCGCTGCAAGAATTTCCGCTGGGGATCCAGGCGAGGGCGAAACGGTCCCTTGTCACGATGTCGCGAATTCCCCGACCAGTCTTTCGTCGTGCCATTGCCGACGCTGCGGAGCCCCTGCACGCTCCTGCCGCGGCCGACGGAGAGAGTCGGCGGAAAAGAGCCGGCCCCAGCAGACAGACCCGTCTCCTTCGATCTCTCTGCGCTGACCTGCTCCCTGACTCCATTCCTAACCTTCTCGCTCGTCGTCTTCCGAAGTGGATGTTTGATCAGCAGTTGCCTGATGCTGCGGAGCTTGCCAATCGTTGGTCGGCTCTCAAAGCTGTGCTTTCCTCCCGCCCCCCCTCTTTCGTTTGGCCCCATCTCAAGACTCTCGCGGGAGCGTGGATCACTTCCTCGCGTGTCGGAATCTTGACTCCCAAAGGATGCCGTTTCGGGTGCAGCGAAGAGGTCCTAGGGATCGAAGTTCGCGCTCCAGATTCGATTGGCCACTATCTTCGGTGCCCTCGTCTCTCTCATCTGTGTGCTCTCCCTCGAGCGGTGATTCCACAGGACCCGCTGATCCGTCTCGGGCTAGGACCAGCATCTGCCTATAATGTAGCTTGCGAGTATGATCCCATCGATATCTGTCGGTGTAATCATCTCTGTGTTCTTGCGCTTCATATATATATATATATATATATATATATATCATAAATTAAGGTGTGAGCTCGCTGCGAACCCGCACCTCCAAGGAACCTACACCACGTCTTTTCGCGCCAGGCATGCAGCCCTGACGTGCATCGACACCAATGCGGCAGCGAGAGCTTCCGCCAGGCAGCCGCCCCGTCGTGTTGCTCCTGCCCCTGCTGCCCTCGTGCCTCATCCTCCTCCAGGGCTGGAGGGCAGCGGAGTGTTTACCCCCAACTAGAGTGACCTTCCTGGGACGCACCTCAGAGGGTACGTGCGCTCCTCCTCCTCCTCCTCCTCCTCGTCTTCATCCTCCTCCTCCTCTTCCTCTCCCCCTCCCCCTCCCCTCTCCTCCCCTCCTGTCCCCTCCTCTCCCCTCCCCTCCCCTCCCCTCCCCTCCCCTCCCCTCCCCTCCCCTCCTATCCAGTCCTCTCTCCTCTCCTCTCCTCTCTCCTCTCCTCCTTCCGTTCGCATGCGTCTCCCCAACCCAACCTTCGTGGCCCCGTAGGGACCTCCACCAAAAGCCTCATTGGCGGTTTCGCATGCGACTCCCCCACTCAGTACAGCGTTCCGTGGCCCCACAGAGAGCTCCACCGAAGGCCCCAGCGGCGGTGTTCACATGCGCCCCCCACGCTAAGTACGTCGATCCGTGGCCCCATAGGGAGCTCCACCGAAGGCCGCAGTGGCGGCGTTCGCATGCGTCACCCCCACCCAGTACAGCGATTCGTGGCCCCATAGAGAGCTCCACCGAAGGCCTCAGTAGCGGTGCTCGCATGCGTCACCCCCACCCAGTACAGCGCTCCGTGGCCCCATATAGGAGCTCCACCGAAGGCCCATGTGGCGGTGGTCGCTTGCATCCCCCCACTCAGTACAGCGCTTCGTGGCCTCAAAGGGAGCTCCACCGAAGGCCCAAGTAGCGGTGTTCGCATGCGTCACCCCCACCCAGTACAGCAATTCGTTGCCCCATAGGGATCTCCACCGAAGACCCCAGTGGCGGTGTTCGCATGCGTCCTCCCCACTTAGTACAGCGCTTCGAAGGCCCCAGTGACGCGCGTTCCACCTACAGCCCCAGTGGCAGCGCTCACACGGCGGCCCCGCCCCATATCGGCACACCCTTCGCATGTTTCATGGCCCTATGAGGAGATCCCCCGAAGGCGATACCCGCATATGGTTGGGCCCATCGCCAGGATAATCTAGCCAGGGTTCGACTATCATGCAACCAAGGGGGGGGTCCAGCGCCTATCCAAGAAATCTGCGCGCAGCTCCGAAAGTTGGTGCTTGTGCTGGCCCCTGGTCCTCCAGGTCTGCTGCCGATGATGGCCGAGGAGCTCGACCTGGGCCCCGTGCAGTGCGCATCACTGCTCTCCGCATTCCCGCTCGGGTACCCAGAGGAGGACCAGTTGAGACAACGGTAGTTCGAGGTTCGAGGTTCGGGGGGGAGTCAAGGTTCGAAGTTTTCGAGCGATTTCTTCAGTTATCGGCGGTTTTCCAGCTGCGCCTCGCCGATGGGCGTTCTGGCGTTTTCTGGATAGTCCCCGACGGCCGCCGGAGACCCGAGTTGCGACCCGGAAACCAACCCGAGGGGGGGCTTTGGTCAAGCGACAAGGGAAATTCAGGGGAGGGCGAGTTGAGATATCGGTAGTTGTCCTCCTTGGGGGGGGGGGGGCTTCGACACCACGAGTGGACGCAGCTCGGACAACAGGTGCATGTGGACACCAGGAGGGGTCCAGGGACAGACGTTGAGCCGCCGTTGTCGCAGCTCGCCCTGCTCCGAGGATCGAGGAGGAGGAGGAGGAGGAGGAGGAGGAGGAGTAGGAGGAGGCGGCGGAGGAGGAGGAGGGTTCCAGTGATAGGTTTTGAGCCGCCGTTGTCGCAGCTCGCCCTGCCCCGAGGTACATGCTGATGCAGGTGCCGGGCGGCACCGCCGCGGACGTCTTCGGGGCCCGGGCGGTCATGGCGGCCGTGCTGCTGAGCACCGCCGGGGGGACCGTGCTGTTCGCGCAGCTCGCCAGCTTCCCCACGATGTGGGCCACCGTGTTCGGCATGGGCCTGATGCAGGGGCCGCTGTTCCCCGTCACGGGCGTGGTGCTCTCCAAGTGGGTACCAGGATCGGTCCGGAGCGGGAGTGGCCCCTCGCCGGAGTGGCCTCGGGCGCGGGCCCACGGGGGGGCCCCCACCCACTGGCTTGCGCGCTGGAGCTTCCGAAGAAGAAAACTGTATGAACAGACACTCTCGGGGCTCCGAGGAGTTTTATTTATTTTTTTTATATATATATATATATACATACATACATACATATATATATACATATATATATATATATATATATATATATATATATATATATGCTAGCCCCCCCACGGGGACCCCATCTTAATAGAGAAAAGTAAAAGACATAGCGAGAGAGAGAGAGAGAGAGCGAGCACGAGAGTGAGAGAGAAGGAGAACGATGACGAAACTGATATATAATATGGATGAGTGTCTACGCCATTCTACACGTTGCTGTTGGACGCGGCAAATAACAATCATCTTTTTCATTCTGAAGCCGAAGATACACATTGCACTCTCCCCAGGTGCATGCATGATCGCATTAGCGGCCCTCTGTATGGACTGCCCGCGGCGCAACTCGCGCGACGATGAGAGAGGGGCGGGGGGGATAGCAAGGAAGAAAATAATATTGTGGATCAGGAGAAAGAAAGAGTATGCTACTACCCGTTGAGCATTGCGCTCGAAGCAGGCGTTGCGCCTCAATGAGTACATTAGGCATTACGCCCACGTGAAGAGCATTACGCCCAAAGAAAATCAGCATTACGCTGAAGAAAGCAGGCGTTGCGCCTTAATCGCACCCCTGGGCATTACGCCCCTGTGAAGAGCATTACGCCCAGCGTTTTAGCGTATTACACTCATCCTCCTAGAGCCTTGCGCTCTTCTCCCCTACTGCTAAGAGCAAGGGCATTACGCCCTGCTGTGGCTCCTCCCCTATCATCCTCATCCTAAACAGGCATTGCGCCTTTGACTACACCCTGGGTGTTACACCCGTTTGAAGAGCATTGTGCTCTGATCTATTTGAGTATTACACTCCAAAGTAGTGCGCCCTGCTGGTTATCCTCCTGTCGTAGCCTCTCCTCTATCAGCCCGCGCGCGGGTGACCTGCCTGTGGGCGGTGGCGGGCGGGGGTGGGGGGATCCTCCTCCTCCTTATCCTCCTGCTCCTCCTCCTCCTTCTCCTCCTCCTCCGCCTCCTGGTCGTCACCCCCATACAATAACTAAAGAGGAGGCTCCCGCCTGATAGATCCCAACAATAACTGAAGAGGAGGCTCCCGCCTGAGAGATTCTCCAAACAACTCTCTGATGAGGAGACTCCCGCCAGAGAGGTTACTACGGCGAGTGCATTGGATAAGGAATCATTGGATAAGAAATCCAAGGTTTGGAAGCCGGCGGAGCTCCAATTGTGGATCGGCCGTGGATGTCGCCACCGCCCTCATCGGATGAGGAATCCCCCAAGGTCTGATGCCTCCTGGGCACATTCCTTAACCAACGCCCCCGACGTAATCACAGTCTCTGAGGGGGCAACTTCGCCTGAAAGGTCCAACAAAAAAGAACAAACTGCTCCTCCTTCTCCTCCTCCTCCCTCTCGACTGGACTTCGTCCTGGGACTCCTGACTCCTGACTCCTCCTCCCTCTCTCTCCTCCTCCTCCTCCTCCTCCTCCTCCTCCTCCTCCTGCTGCTGCTCCCCCTCCTTCACATAATGATCGTAATCCTCCTCATCATCATCGTCAACATCATCATCATCATAATCAGCATAATCATCATCATGTCCGTAATCCTCATCATATCATCACCATCGTCATCATCACCATCACCAACATCAGCATCAACATCATCATCAACACAATCAGCATCACCATAGTCATCAGCAACATCAGCATCATCAGCAGTACCATCTTCATATTCATTTTCTCCGTCATCATCACCATAATGTTTGTCATCCTCGTCTTCGCCATGGCCATGAGGGTCTTGCATGAAAGGTCCCCAAAACATGTGAGGAGGAACAGGCTCCCGCCTGAGAGGTCCCCAACAAACGTCAGGATGAAGAGGCTCCCGCCTGAGAGGTCCAAAAAAAACGCGAGGAGGAAGAGGCTCCCGCCTGAGAGGTCCCAAAACAACGTGAGGAGGAAGAGGCTACCGCCTGAGAGGCCCCAAAAATACGCGAAGAGGAAGATGCTCCCGCCTGAGAGGTCCCAAAAAAACTCTCTTGGGAGGAGGCAACCGCCTGAGAGGTCCCAAAAAAAGCAAACAGGAGGAGGTTCCCGCCTGAGAGGTCCAAAAAAACCCAAAGAAACCCAAACACCATGCTTCTCATCCCTGTAACTGTCCCAAAAAAAAATGGCGGCCCTCGTCAATGCATCTGGGGCAGCGACGTCCGTTCTCCTCTGGAACTTTGGGTTTTTTTTTGTTTTGTGGGACAGTTACAGGGATGAGAGGCATGGTGTTTGGGTTTCTTTTGGTTTTTTGGGGACCTCTCAGGCGGGAGCCTCCTCCTGTTTGGTTTTTTTTTCGACCTCTCAGGCGGAAGCCTCCTCCCAAGAGAGTTTTTTTGGGACCTCTCAGGCGGGAGCCTCCATTTGACTCTGTTTTTTGGGGACCTCTCAGGCGGGAGCCTCTTCCTCCTCACGTTTTTTGGGGACCTCTCAGGCGGGAGCCTCTTCCTCTTCGCATTGTTTGGGGACCTCCCAGGAGGGAGCCTCTTCCTCCTCACGTCTTTTGGGGACCTCTCAGGCGGGAGCCTTTTCCTCTTCGCGTTTTTTGGGGACCTCTCAGGCGGTAGCCTCTTCCTGTTCACGTTTTTTGGGGACCTCTCAGGCGGGAGCTTCAACACAATCAACACAATCAGCAGAATGAGATAGGTCCCTCATGGAGACGGGTACCTTTCAATTGTATGGTTTTCTTATTGTGTTTGAGTGTGTTGGTGTCTTATTGTTGTTGATTTTGATGCTATCGATTGCAAACGTTCTTGCAACAACACAGTGTCAACACCTACATCAACATATGAACGAACTTCTCCACTTAAAGCCCTCGGGCTTGCATTTGTGAAGATGGGGTCCCCGTGGGGGGGGGGGGCTACCATATATATATATATATATATATATATATATATCATATAATATAATATAATATAATATAATATAATATACTATGATATAAATACAAACAGAGAAAGATATGTGTGCAGCTGCTTCTTTTTCTTGACATCATGGCCCACACGAGGCCCCCTCGGGCCGCGCACCAGAGGCCTCTCTTACCCAGGGCCATGACATCCGATGTTCTGATTTGTTCCGTACGGGCTCCCAGGGAGTCACGACCCTTTCCCCAGGGCCAGCTTTTCATCCCAGAAATAGCCTCCGGATGCCGAGAACGACCGAAGATTTCCCGTCGGGATTTTTCCCCGACGCGAGCATGTGTGGGGAGCGCCACTCTCTTGCGCGGAGTGGCCGAATGAGGAAAGGAGCGCGCCAGGGCCACTGCGGCGGCGGAGCTCGGGAATCCGCTGGGGGCCCTGGTGGCGCTGTTCGTGGTGCCCACGGTCGCGACGCTCGTGGGCTGGCGGGCGGCACTGGCGCTCAGCATCGTCTGACCGATCCCCCTCCCCAGTGGGCCATGGGGCCACGGCTGGTAAGGTCTCGGGCTTCGCACAGACAGCGGCAGGGAGGGAGGGGAAGGGGCGAGCAAAAGTTCCGGCTCCTCCTCGGTCCTCGATGCTCTCCCAGGGTTCCTCCGGCGACGCCCCTGGGGCGCTCCGCGCCCCAGGGTTGGAGTGTCGAGGCCGCCTCGGACTGCTCGGGGGGGCTGTTGATACTCGGGAGGGCTGTTGAGAACAGCTAGGGCCACCTGCGAGGGCTGTCTGTGCACAGCCCGAAGCCTTACTAGCCATGGTAACTCAGCCCCACCAAGTCACCGCCCAGGTGGGATAGGTCCCGCGAAACCCGAAGGGCGCAGCAGATATCCCCACCTAAAGGGGGTAAGTCGGCCAGAGAGCCGAAGGCCATGCCAGTAGGGATAGGGTTCGGCTAGACGATGTTCAGGCGCTCCTCGGCTCCGCCACCGCTGGCTTTGCGGCCACCTGGTGGCAGCTGGGAGCGGACGGCCCCGAGTCCTGCAGGCACGCTTTTTTTTGTTTTTTTTGTTTTTTTTGAAAATAACAAAGTGACAGCGAAAAACAAACAAACATGTTGTTGCCCGCAGCGAGGGCGGACGGTAACGTTCGAATCACCGCCGGCCTGCGCCGGGCGATGGGCATGTTGAAACAGTTGTTTAACACAAAACAGAAGACAACAACAAAACATACAAAAAAGGCGGCCGCGGAGAAGGCGCGAAGGAGGGGAGGCCTCGGACGTAGAGAGTGCGCCACGAGGAGCGCGCCGGCGAAAAGCAAACAAACGGACCAACAGACAGACAGAAGGACAGACAGACAGACAGACAGGCAGACAGACAGACAGACAGACAGACAGACAAGCAAACAGACAGACAGACAAGCAAGCAAACAGACAGACAGACAGACAGACAGACAGGCAAGCAAGCAAGCAAACAGGCAGACAGGCAAGCGAGCAAACAGGCAGACAGACAGACAGAAAGCTTGCAGGCACATCTCGGGCGCAGAGCTGGCGGAGCTGCGGCGCGAGGGCCTCGCCGGCGCCGCGGGCGCCGCCGCCGCGGGCCCGCTCGCGGCGGGGGGCCAGGGCGCTGGGTGGGCCGGCCAGCTGCGCATCTCGGAGGAGGGCCGGCCGAGTCGAGCGGCGGCGCTTGGCATCGCTCGGACGTGTGCGTTTTTTTTCCTCGGCGAGGACCATCGAGGAGCATCCTCGGCGAGGATGCTCCTCGACGTGTGCGTTTTTTCCTCGGCGAGGACCATCGGCGAGGACGTGTGCGTTTTTTCCTCGGCGAGGATCACGTGGCGAAAAAAGCAAGCACGGAATCGAAAAAAGCACGGGGAGTGGACGTCCGAGCGATGGCCAGGGCGGGGCCCATTGCGAGCCGATGCGGTGCCGGTTCGGGGCAGCCCGATGCGATCCGATGCCGAAATTCGACGACGCTTGAATCGGGCCTGTCCCCCTACAGGGGGATACTCGACGAAACAAAAAAGCATACCCCAAAAATAGTCCAAAAAACAGTCCAAAAATAGTCTGGGAACTGTTTGCTCGGGTATTTTTTACCTTGTTTCATTATTTTGGGGGTTAATTTTTCGTCGAAAATCCCCCTGCAGGGGGACACGCCCGACTTAAGACTACGCGTAAGAGTGACCCTTCGCCGGCTGGTGCGAGCCCACTAAGGTCTCCCAATCGCCGAGCGCGGTGCGGTGATGGCGTCTTGCGCGCTTATGTCTGGTCCCCGCGCACCAAAGGTCGCTCGTACCCGGGGTCACTCTTGCGTGTAGTCGAGGTATGCCGAGGATCCGGCGCGGCCCGATGCTCGCTCGCAGGGCGCTGTCGTGCATCCTGGCGCAGCCGATGCATTTCGGTTCCGACTCTCAGCCACGCGCAGAGGGGGCTGGGGGGAGGGGGGAGGGCTTCTTAGAAGCACCCCTGCTTCTTAGAAGGCGCGGGCCTTATCTATAGATGTAGGGCTGGCGCCTTCTAAGAAGCAGCCTCCTTCTAAGAAGCCCTCCCCCCTCCCTCCACCCCCTTTGTGCGCGCCGCCAAGACTCCGTGCTGGTGCGGCCCGATCCGACGCACATGCCGATGCGATCCGACCGCGTGGTTCGATGCTGGCCGATCCTGGCGGCGGCCCTCCCTGGCTTTCGTCGTGTTTCATGCTTGTCGGTGGCCTCCTGGAGGCGTCTCGTCGCCACGGTCGAGGGGAGGAGGTTCGAGGTTCTGGGCTCGAGCTGGGGGGTTTTGCCTCTTTGGGCCTCGATTATTCTTAACGTCTCGATGTAAATCTTAAGATTTGCATGGAAATGTTGGGTTTTGCCTCTTTTTGGGCCTCCAGGGGCCATGTTCGGCCTGGGGGCCTTCGAAAACGGATACGGGGTGACAAGCTACACCAGGTGGACCCCGGGAGGGGTCCGGGAGCCAACTTTTGAGCGCACCCGGGTTGGGCGGGAGAGCCGGCGTTGCCTCGAGAGTGGCCCTCCTCCGAGCATCATGGCCAACCCCGCCGCCTGGGCGGTGCTCCTGGCGAACACGGCGTTCAACTTCAACCGCTACTTCACGTACACGTGGATCACCACGTACTACACGGCGGCCTGGAGGATGCCGGTCTCCGAGGCGGCGGCGCGCATGCTGTGGCCCAACCTGGCCGACATTCTGTTCGCCGTCCTCGCCGGGCAGCTGGCAGACGTGGTGGCGAACTCTGGCAGGCTGTCGCGCGTTGCGACCAGGCGTGTCTTCTCGAAGGATTGCAAAAAAAAAACCTTGAACGAAGGATTGCAAAAAAAAACCCTTCGAAGGTTTTTTGCAATCCTTCGTTCGAGGCGTGTCTTCTCCACGGCCGGCTTCGTCGGCACCGGGCTGAGCCTCTACATGGCCGGGCGGGCCAGCGACCCGCTCGCTGTCACCGTGCTGGTGACGCTCGCGTCGGGGATGCAGGCCTGCCACGCGGGCGGCTTCAAGGCCAGCTACACCGAGATCTCCCAGGAGGCCTCGGGCCTCATCTGGAGGAAGGCAGAGCGGCAGGGGCGCAGACTTTTCGGAGGTCGGCGCGGGTTTCCTGGAGCGGCGCTGCCCCCCCCCCTCCCTGGTGCGCGGAGCGCGCCAGAGGCGGTACCCGGGGGGCGCAGGTCCAAGAAATCCGCGCAGAGCTCGGAAGGTCGAGGAAGCGCGAGGGCAATTTGGGCCAGCGGCGGGTCCCGCTTCCATGAGAGTTCCGCCTGGCACGTGGCCCTCCAGGAGGAATATTCAAAAATGGTCAGGTGGTCTGGGGGCGGTCTTTCCAGCATGTTTTGGTCATCTTTGAATGTTCTCTGGCTGTCTGTCATCTCTCGTCCAATGCCCGACCCCACATGAAAGATCGGCGCGCAAGGTCGCCACACGAGGCGGGCGGCACGGGGCCTCGTGGTTTGGGGGTTGCGCACCTTCCACGCTCTGTGGACCTGGTGCGCCCACGCGCCAGATGCACGGATCCCGAAGCCGTGTTGGCGTGCGCCCGAGAAAGTTTGTGTCTGCGCCGTGGTCTGTCGTTCGTCGTTCGTCCGCCGTGCGTCGTGTCGGTCGTCTGGTGTTCCGCGCCCGTGTCGTTCGTTTTCGTCGTTCTCGCCGTGTTCGTCGCCGCCGCGGATCTGGTGCGCCCACGCGCCAGATGCACGGATCCCGAACCCGTGTTGCAGTAGGGGCCCGATCACAAGAAGCCGTCCACAAGGAACCGAACCCTGAGACCACAGGACGTCCATCGATTTGGGATGTGGGAGCGTCACGCTTTCCACTGCAAGACCATCGAAGCCCAAGAAACCCAGGGCACCCTGGAGGCAAGCAGGGTGTTTCTCGGCGTGGGCCCCCACTGCCGCGTGCGCCCGAGAAAGTTTGTGCCTGCGCCGCTGTTTCTTCCTCCGTCGTCATGGGGATCGGCAACGCGTTCGCCTCCGCGGGCGCCACCTGCGTGCCCCTGGCGGGCACGGCCATCCTCGAGGCCCACGGCGGCACGGCGCAGCTCGAGGCGTGGCGGGCCCTCTTCGGCGTGGTGCTCGCCGTGGGCTCCCTCGGCGCGGCCGTGTACTCGCTGCTCCTGTCCACGGACTGGTGGTTCGCGGTGGTGCCGGCGGCCAGCCTGGGAGAGCGGCCGGGACCTCGGAGGAGGAGGAGGCGCCGTTGCCGCTGCCCCTGCTTCTGTTTCGCCTCTTGGGGCCTCCTCGGAGGCCCTCGTCGCCACCGCTGGATTCGTTTCGAGATTCTTGTCAAAAACGCACCCCGGGAGAGGTCCGGGGAGCAGCAGTGCAGAGACCAAGAACGAGGGAGGGACGGCGGGTGCGGCAGCCAGGCGTAAGATGTGTGGCGTGTCGACTGGCAGCGTTTGCTGGCCACGGGGGAGACGCCTCGGCGATGGGGAGGCCAGCGATGGTGGGCGCAGATCCCTGAGATCCGACGGCGCGAAAATTCGCCCCTGGAGCCCTAGACCCAATTTTCCTGCGCCGTGTTTCGAGTCGGATCGACCTGTGACGGTCCTGGGGCCCGAGGACTGCGAGAAGGCCCGGCTCGTCGAACAGACGGGGACGACAACATATTTCGGGGCTGGTGACAGGGATGCCCGGGGGTTCCTGTGGAGAGGCCCGTCAACGGCACCGTAACGGGTACTTACTAACGGGTACTTTGAAATGTTGCCGACAGTTGCCACTTTAGGGCCTGTTTCTTGCATTGCAGCTTTGCCCACATCGGGAAGGGTTGGGTTCGCTGGGGGGAGGAGGAGGAGGAGGAGGAGGAGGAGGAGGAGGGAGGAGGGAGGAGGGAGGAGGAGGAGGAGGAGGAGGAGGGAGGAGGAGGAGGAGGGAGGAGGAGGAGGAGGGAGGAGGGAGGAGGAGGAGGAGGAGGGAGGAGGGAGGAGGGAGGAGGGAGGAGGGAGGAGCGGGGGTTCCTGTGGAGAGGCCCGGGGAGCAGCGGCGTCGGCCCCCTCGTGGCTCCCCCGAGGACCCCGGCGCCGGGCGGAGGGCCTCGGCGGCGGGCCGCCCGCGCAGCTCCCGGGGCGCAGGCAGCCGGGCGAGCCCCGGGGCGTGCTGCTCGCAAGCGCGCCGATGCAGAAGCGAGTCCACAGGAGCAGGGCCCTCCCCAGACCCCCTCGAGTAATGAAAAAATCATGACGGGAGGTTTTTCGCTATTTTCGGCCCCTGGGGGCCCATACCCGGCCTCGGGAGCGTCAAAAAACGACTCAGGATGCAAAGCCGGTCATGGGGAAAAGGTCAGGACCTCTGGGGGTCGACGTAATGAAAAAATCATTACGTCGGGGGTCTGGCCCTCGCCGATCCGATCCGATCCATTTGTCGATCCTCCACTTCCTCTTCTCGTGGGGCCCGCACTGGTGCTCCTCCTCGATCGATCGATCGATGGTGCTTTTCGATCGATCGAGGGTGCTTCTTCGTCTTCTCGTGGGGCCCGCACTGGTGCTCCTCCTTCCTCCTCGTCTGGGGCCCGCAATGGTGCCCACCCGTCTGCTTGCTCGTCATTGTCATCGCCGGGCCGCCGTCACGCCAGGCTTCCTCGCTGGGCGGCGCCCCCACCAAGGCGATGATGATCGATCCATTGTTCGACGTCGTCTTCGGCCGGCCCGCCGCGGTGCGGTGCAGATGCTCCGGCGATCCGATGCGGCCCAGCGCTCGCACGGCGCTGCCACGCATCCTGGCGCAGCCGATCTGGTCCGATCCCGACTCCGTGCCGGTGCGGCCCGATTGGACGGAGATCGCGATGTTCGATGCGACTGCCCGCGTCCCAGACCCCCGACGTCACGGTTTTTTTGTCATGACTTCGACCCCAGAGGTTTCGACACGTTCCCTGGGACCAGCTTTTCATCCTGAGCCGTTTTTCGACGGCCCTGGAGCCTGGCAAGGGCCCCCAGAGGCCGAAAGCAATGGAAAACCTCGCGCGGTGATGCTTTCAGTGCTCGAGGTGGTCTGGGCTCCATGCCGCCTCCTGCCCGGCAGGAGCCCCGTGGGTGCCGTCGCGCTCGCCACCGTCGTGGCGGTCGTGAGCGTGCGCGGCGGCAGCGGCCCGTCCGGCCTGCACGGCGGGTGGGCCGCGCGCGCGGAGCGGCCTCCCGCGCTCGAGGGCGTCCTGGCACGGCCGCGGCGCGCTCCTCTGCGCCGGGGCCCAGGCATCGTGGGCGACGAACACTCGGCGACTACGGACTTCGGGGCGATCGGAGCGGGCACGGACAGAATGGGCGCGGTGCCCAACAGCAGTTCCTCTTCGTTTTGAGCAGGACTCGCCATTCGCGCCGCCGCGGACGTTGTTCTTGGAAGATAAAAGGCAGCCTGCCCAACAGCGGCCGCTGTCGGTTTGGGACAACATGGATTGTTGGGCATTCTACCCATGCTTTCCGTACCCATTTCGGGCGTCCAAAACAGAGGATGTGTCGGCCACGCGCAGAAGGGGGCAGGGGGAGGGGGGAAGGCTTCTCAGAAGCACGGCCCATGCTTCTCAGAAGGCGCGAGCCTCACCTGTAGATCTGAGGCCGGCGCCCTCCGAGTAGAAGGCTCCTCCTGAGAAGCCTTCCCCCCTCCCCCTGCCCCCTTGTGCGCGCCGCCAAGTGTGGTTGCGCCGAGGTGTGGCTTGCGATCTGCGCCGATGGGGCTCGAGAGGCACCACGTTGTCCTCGTCGGGCCTCCTCGGGGCGCGGCGGAGAGCTCCGTCGAGGAGCCCTCGCCCGCCTCCCGGGCTGCGGGCTGCAGACCACATCGTGCGAGCCACACCCTTCGCAGTCGCCGAGAGCACAGCCACGTCCGCGGCTTCGCGGGCCCGGCCCCTGGGCCGCGACCCCGCGGGCACGGGGCTTCTGTCGCGGATGCCCCGCGCGGCCGCACAGCCGCGGGATCGCGCCCCAGAATCCCGACCGCGAGGGCGCGGATGCGGATATGTTCGCCGCTCGTGAAGGCAGGTGAGAGCGTTCGGCGTGGGCCGGGCCGCCCGAGGGGCGGCCACTCCAGCCAGAGGCCGCGCAGCACCTGCTGGCCGCAGAGGAGGGCCAGTTGAGGGCAGTGGTAGCTCGAGGCTCGAGGTTCGGGGAGGGGGGGAGGGGGGGGATGTGTCGAGCTTCGAGGCGTTCGGGCGATTCCGTCGGTTCTCGGCGGCATTCCAGCCCCAAGGGTGCTTTCCAGCAGCCGAGCCTCGCCGAGGGCCGTTCTGGGGTGTCTGGATCCTCCCGAGCTGCCACCCGGGAACCAGCCCGGGGAGGGGGGCGTTGGTCCAGGGTGGCGAACGGGAGAACGCAGAGGGGAGCGAGCTGAGTCACTCGTAGTTGGCCTTCGGTCGTCTGCACCGAAGAGTGGCCCTCCGCCTGCGAGACCCTTTGGTGCGGGCCCACTGGGGCCCCCCGACCGCCGAACGCGATGCGACAGTAGGCCCCTTGCGCGCTTGTGTGTTGCTCCCCGCGCGGAGCCAAAGATCCCGCGCACCAAAGCTCACTCTTGCCCAGGGTCGCTCCGTGCGTGTAGCCGACTCGGGTGGCCCCCTCGTCGCTGCGGCGGGAAGCAGCTCGGGCAGCCGGTGTGCGTGGGCCCGGGGGGAGGTCCGCCGTCGCCTCAGCTCGCCCTGCTCCGACGGCCTACAGTGAGGGCCCATGCCGAGAAACACCCTGCTTGCCTCCAGGGTGCCCTGGGTTTCTTGGGTTTCGATGGTTTTGCGATGAAGTGCGCGACGCTCCCACGCCAAAAACCCATGGACGTCCTGGGATCTCATGGTCGGGTTTCTTGTGGAAGGTTTGTTGTGGACTGGCCTCCACTGTATGCTTGGAGGAGCTTCGGGATCGGCGACGTCGTGCCAAGAGGAGGGTGCGACAGGGAAAGGTCGGTGTTCGAGGCTGCGTATCTCGACGGACCGTCGCGTGCGCGAGCTGGCCTTCCAGCCGCAGCAGGCAAGTTTTAACGGTTGGCGAGTCCAGACCGCCACCAGAAGTTCATTTGAATCGCTATGGCAGCGGCTGTAGCCTGGACGCTTCGAAGTAGAGCGACTGCGTCGGTCAAATGGGGCCGTCGGGGCGCTGCGAGCGGCCTGAATTTTCCGTGCCCTGGTCCCTCGACATGTCGGCACACTTAACTGCATCCAGCTTCCCGTCAACTACACGCAGCACTGGTCCGAATGGTGGGTCCTCTGTTGCCGCATATGACTTGCAGCGTGTAGTCTTGCTCGAGAATGTGCAAGATGCAGTTTTCATTTCCCGCCAGGGAAATTCGTTTTGACTAGTTTCCCCGTCGCTGTATCATCCTATATCCCGCTACACCTTCAAGGACTCCAGTTGTCTGCTCATCCTTTTCACTCCCAGCAACCCTGCAGTCGACGGTGAATTCAAATATTCCTTTGTTCATTTTCGCGCACGAGCTCCAGAATCCGCTGTGTTCTTTTCCCGCGGTGCCGATTTCAGCCCGCTGGTCAGCCCAGTTCTCTCTTCAGCCTCCAGAATCTTCAAGCTTTGCCCCATTCTCATTCGGATTCGCCTGTTCGTTGGGCCAACTTTTCTTGTGCGAGATACCGCGCGTGCGAACTGCGTCTGCGAGCACGCAAACTCTGACGATAACCGACGCCAACGAAGGTGGGCGTCTTTCCCCAATCAGCGCCTAAACTGAAGGGGTCCTAGCGGATGTTGAAAAATTTGCCGAAAGTGCCCAGCCGATTTCGGTGGGCGGCCAGCTTCCCGGGTTCCCAGTTCTGGGTTCCCAGGTTCCCGCTTGCTGATTCTGGGGCGATTTTTGTGATTGGCGGGGTTCCCGTGTTTCCGGGTTCCCGGTTTCCTGGTCGATCTCTTTATCGATTGGTCTCACCATCGATCCCATTACCCACCTCTCTATCGATCTCATTATCGATGAGCGATCTCTATCTCACTGAGTCGACTTCACTATCGGTCTCACGATCGGCCTTACTATCGTCCTCACTATCGATCCCAGTGTCGATTTCACTATCGATCCCACAATCGATCTCAATATCCATATGGCACTACTTCTCAAACCATCCACTGATTGGGGCTTTCCTCTGATGTAATGTCTTCAGGTTGTCATGCCATCACCGCCGAATGTAAGAATTTGGCATGGCAGGAATCGTGCGCACAGCCTAATATCAAGAGCTGGTAGAGAATTCGAGGGGTGTGCGTGAGCCGCTCTGTAGTTATCGTGCTACGACTGGTAGCTATCAGGCCAGGGCCTCCACCTGCGCGAGCGCTCGTGGGCCCGAGTTCTCCTGCTGAGCAGGCCTCCTTTCTTGCTGCAGCCTCTCCCCTCCACGCTCGACCCACGCGAGGCTGCGAAGGGCGCAGATTCAAGGGAGGCAAAACCATCGAAACCCGATAGTTGGCGTTTACTAAACGGCCCTGGGCGTTCACGAAACAGCCCTGCCCTGCTCGATTCCTCCCGTGGGTGCGTTTTTGAACGGCGTCGGGTGTCGGGGTGATTGTAGTGGGGGTGGATTTTCTGCCCTCTACGGATGGCACCCGTGCCCCCCCGCCCGTGGTGGGGCTTCCTTCCCGTCGGTTGGGGAGCCGGCAGCTGTTCACCTTCGGGTTTCGATCGCGACGGCAGAAGAAGATACAGCATAAGCACAAGTTGTCAGAGGCCCGCGCGGCTCCATCGGATCCGCACTGGACCCCCCTCTCTGGCGCGCGAAGCGCGCCAGGGGCGGCGCGAGGGCCCCGTCGGCAGGTCCAAGAAATCCGTGCGGACCTCCAAAGTGGAAGTTTATTTCTCTCCTCCAAGATACAGGGGAAGGAAACGGGCCCCCCCTTGACGTTGCCCCCTGGTCTTCGGGCCACGACTCGGCTCTCCGGCGGCCGTTCGGGCCGATCCGGGCACCCCCCGAACGCTCCTGGCGAGGCGCATCTTGAGCCATCGTGCGGTATCTTGGGCCATCTTGGAGCTCTTTTTGGACTCTCAGTGGCCCTCTTGGGGCTGCCTTGGGCCATTTTGGACGCTCCAACGCCTCGCCGCCCCCCCCCCCCGCCGAGAGCCGACGAGGACGTCCGAACACCTCGAGGCGCTATCCGCCAGGCCTCGGCACTCGAGCCCCCCCGAAGCAAGAGCCGGCCCCGCGGGCTCCCCCCCCCCCCCGCCTCCAGCTCCCGTCGGCAGGCCCCTCCTTCGAGCCCGCCCGCGAGCGGCGGCCCGGCCGGCCCGGCCGCCGTGCCCCGCCACGGGCGCGCCCCTTGTTGGGGCCCCGCGGCGGCGCCGAGCACCGCCTCGGGGCGGCGCCCTGCGCCCAGGGCGTGCTGGCGAGCGCCCCGCTGGCTCGCCGGACGCCCGGTCAGCGGCGCAGGGGCGCCAGCGGCTGCAGCAGCCCAGGGATGCAGCGCAAAGAGAGAGAGAGCGTCCTCCGTGCTCGCGGAGGCCTGTGCAGGGGGGCGGGGAGGGGGGGGGGGGGGAAGCGTGGTCTTTCGCAGGCCTAGAGGTTGACACCAGCACCAGTGTCGGCGGTGTGCCTCCACCGGGGGACAGAGATCCCGATCTCGGCGATGGTGGTAGTAGTCTGGTTTCCAAGGTGACCGACATGTGACCCCAAACACCACAATCTAGGATCATCTTCCCCCTGTGGCGGCAACGCCCTGTGTTGGTGTTGGTGCCCATGTCCAGACCTCCCAGTCTTCCTCTTCGCCGAGTGGGGTGCCTACATCGTGATCTTCGTACATTGTCCGCCCACGGCCCCGTCCAAAAGGGGATCCGAAAGGCCCGAGGAACATCTCAATGGGTATCCACGAGAGGCGCCGCGAGAGGTTTCGGCGTGCCCCAGGCCAGTTCAGGCGATCTCAAACATGGATTAAGGGGGCGGTGGATTAGCGACGGGTCCCGCCTCCATGGGAAAACGCGGATTTCCGTTCTCCGCCGCCGAATGAGGCGGCACCAGCCGCACTTTGGGGAGGGCACCGCCCCCGATCCATGGAGTTGGCGACCGCGCGCCAAATCCATGGACCGCTAATCCATGTTTGCCGCCCCCGACCAGTGCCCGGAGCAGCCAAGGCCGTTCAGCGCTCGCTTTTTCCCAGGCTTCTCGTCGGAGGGTGTTCCCCGGAGCGCTTCGAGAGGGCCAACAGGGCGGCCATGGAGCGGCCGAAGCTTGTCGCAAGAGAGCCTGCAGACGTCCAAAGAGAGCCTCCAGAGGGGCCGAAGAAGACCGAAGAGGCCCGCAAGACGGCTCGAGGGCGCGCCCGGAGGGAACCAAGACGGCCCCAGAGAGGCCCCCGAAGGGCCCCGACGCTCTCGAAGCAAGAGATTCCCAACAGGACCCTAACATGCCTCTACCCATCGGTCTTTGAAAGTAAGGTATTTTTAGATTCCCAGATTCCAATCTACTTTAAGCGTTTTCCTATTTCGAGTGGCTTCCGCTCTTCCCTCCTCTTCAGGGGGCGGGCGGACACCCAATCTACTTCCAACGCCTTCCTACTTCATGTCTCTGCCTACTTCTTACGACCGGTGGGTAATGTGGCCCTGAAGAGAACCAAAAGAGCCTTCAAACAGCCTCAGGTGGCCCCACAACGGTTCAGAAGGCCCCAGGACGACCCCTCCCGGCGCTCACGCTTAACTGACTCCGCCGCGTCGTTGCGTTCATGGCCGCAGCGCCAAGAAGCGCACGTGGCGCGAAAAAGATCACTTGCAAAACCACACCCATAGAAAACAGAGGCCCAAGAGGGCCGAAGAGGCTGACAAAAATCGGGCGAGGGGCCCGAAGAGAGGCCCCAGGAGTCGCGGGGAGAGGCCCAAGGCGGGAGAAAGCAGAGGCGCGTAGCGGAGAGCAGCAGCAGCAGCAGCATACGCTGGGTTTCTCAGTAAGCATCAGGGGGTGCACCCCCGACGGGGGTCAACCTCGCCTCGTCGTTGCGCCGCGACGGGCTGGCGCCCCCCCGACGCTTCTTAAGAAGCTCGGAGTACACGTTTGCAGAGAGTTTCTGGGCATATGGGTTTACGAGGGATCAGGATTGTGGGAACGTGTTGGTTTCACTGAAGGCTTGTGAAGCCAAGCTGGGCTATGCTGATGGCGACATTCCGCCATCGGAAGCAAAACCAGGGGCAAGGATGAGCCATGTGGGTGTCGTTTCTTCTGCATTGCTTCTGCTTCCTCTTTATTTATTTCCTCGGGTCGCTGCTTCGTGTTTCGTTTGCTTCTCTGCTACCTACTGCTTGCCGTCCGCTGTCTTCCCTGTTTGCTCGTGCCGTAGTCTCGTGTGACAGTTATGGCTTGTCCGGTGGTATTGTGCCCCACGGCTTCAAGCCATTAAGTGATGGCTTTGATTGTTGAAAATATGAGCCGTGTGGATGTGGGTCAATATTGAAGTTCGTCGACGGGATGTCGGATCATGTCAGGCCACATGGGACGTCTAGAAGGCCATAGTGGACTATCTCTGACGCGTTGGAACCTGTTTGAGCAATACTGTGGGATCACCACTGGCCATACAGGACGCCATGATTAGAAGCGACATTCCCCGAAGACGTGGAGCACGTGCATACTTGAAACCAATATAGTCATCGATGCGTTTGCTATGCCAGTGGACATCCTCTTGGCATGTCAGGGAAGTCCAAGGTTCTGTTCCGCTTCGTCAATGCGTATTGGGCCACACCAGGCCACGGAGGATGTCTGGGAAGCAATACGAAGTACTTTGAGAACGTCTTTGGCCATCTCGGAGGCACGTCTCGGATCATATTGCAGGCGGTGTTGGACCCGCTGGGCAATCTTGGAGGTACTGAATCCGCCTGAGGCAGTATCAGAAAGTCCGGGTGCCTTCAGAGTGGCATCAGAAGCCGTTTGGGTTCTCATGTCTTCCGAAGACGCAGCCGTAAGCAACATGGAAGATACTGTACGTTTGATCCTGCTCGCGAAGGGTCCAGCGTGCAGGGGAAGGGGCACCGCGGCCTGAAGAGGGGGGACAAAAAGACGAAGGAAGAGGGGAACGGCGGAAAGGAAGCACAGCTGAGGAAAGAGAAGAGAGGCGGGGATATATGTTAGAATCCCGACCGAAGCTCCGAATGTCGGGAGATCTCCGCGGATATGGTCACAGGGCGTCGATCCAAACAAACGTTGGAGTTGGCAGCGCGAAGTAAGAGGCTGCACATCAGGACGTGGAAGAGCGGGCCGCTTCGCTGGCGCAGGTCGTCGCGCACACGCGCGTTCGTGTCTTCGTTATCATTGTTCCTCCTCTTCCTGTTCCTCCTCCTCCTCCTCCTCCTCCTCCTCCTCCTCCTCCTCCTCCTCCTCCTCCTTTTCCTCCTTCTCATCCGTGGCCACTGTGGCTCAAGATGTTTGTGTCCCTCGGGCAGGCAGTGGATGCCTGTAGTCCGAGGTCAACGCTCATGACTCAGGCAACCTCAGAGTCGAGCTGCGCGCTGCTGGGGCCAAGAGTCTTCCTTATCCGACCCCTGCGCACAGCCCAGGTCGGGCCAACTGAGGCCTTCCCAGTTCCTGGTTTGGCGCCGTGTAGATGGGGCCCCCGCCTGAACATGAGACCAACACTCCCCGTGGACACAAGAAAGAGAAGAAGGAGAGGAGGGAAAGACGGAAAAAAAAACGCTATCAGTCTCGCTCGTCGCGCAGGTCGGCTCGCTCTTCGGGCTCTGGCGTATCTGCGACCCCTGTCTGCATGAGGAACGACAAGGTGGAGGCAAGCACATCGGGACTACGACAGCGGTGCCCGTGGATCTAACGATGGTGGCCCAACGAGACATGATACCCCCGCCGTGCTGCTATTGAACGCGCGCTGCGGGA